GTGTGATACGCAGCCTCTCACTCCCATACTCTGTTTCTCTCCATCCCTGCCTCCTGGGCTGATGACAGCGGTGGTCGGGGCTGGAATCGGGGGCTCTGCTGTGGCCCATTTCCTCCAGCAGCACTTCGGACCCCGGATGCAGATCGACGTGTACGAGAAGGGGACTGTTGGCGGCCGCTTGGCCACCATCTCAGTCAACAAGCAGCACTACGAGAGCGGAGCCGCCTCCTTCCACTCCCTGAGCCTGCATATGCAGGACTTCGTCAAGCTCCTGGGTGAGTGTGCAGTCCTGGGGCTCCAGCACCCAGCGCTCCGGGGCTGGCGGCAACATCTACCTAGACCAGCAAGTCCAGAAGGTCATGTAGCCCAATCTCCTCATTTTACAGATGGAGCAGCTGAGACCAGAGAGGGGAAGGAACTTGCCTGAGGTTACACAGTGAGTTAGTTGCAGAGCCGGGATTAGAACTCAGGTTTGACTCCCAGGCCAGTTTCTTTCCCTTTCAATTTGCTGCCTCTTAATAATCATGATCACATCAGCTTCCTTAGGCTGGTGCCAGATACGCGGCACCCTTCTAGGTGGTATGTAGTCATTACTTCCAGTCTTCCCTACTAGCTTGCAAGGTGAATGTTAGGTCTCCTCCTGAGGAAACTGAGGCTCAGAAAATTTATATACCTCAGCTAAAGCCATGCAGCTAATAAGCAAGAGAGCTGGGAGTCAAATCAGGCAGCATTGGTCAGAACCACAAATACACATACTGTTTGACACAGAAGTTGCAATTCTCGGAATGATCCTACAGGTGGTCTTGCAGATACACAAAGTGGCACACATACAAGGTTGCGGCATTGTTCGTAATAGCAAAAGGTTGAAAATACCCTGTCTGCCCACCTACTGGGAACTGGGGGCCCACAAATTATTGCATAAAGACACAGTATTTATTCAGAAGCCAGAATAGGGAAGTCCTTTACGCCCAGCTATGGTACACTCCGCGATGCAGTATGTTGCTAAGGTGCAGAGCAGTGCGTATAGTATGTGGGAGTGGGGGAAGGAATAAATCATAGCAGCTATATCTGCATTTAGAAGTCCGTCGCTCTGCAAGTTGTAGGGTACAGGAGGGCTATAAGGAGCTGTGATGATTTCTGTGTGATCTCGGTGCCTAGGGCTGCCATCTCAAAGCAAGCCCTGTGGCTGTCAGCCCCTAGACATTCTGGGATGACATCTGAATTTCCCTCACTTGTAGCTGAGTGGATCCCTGTTGAAAAAAATGTGAAATGGTACATTATTTTCATTTTCATTGACTAGGGAGGCTGAACATTTTCCCAGTGCATCTGTTTACTGTTTATAAACAAGCAACACAAACAAACAAACCATAGTGTTTGTATTTCCTTTAACGGAACCAGTCCATTGGCATCAGGAAGGCCCCGGATCTTTGAAGGGGACCCGAGGGCCTCCTCCTCATCTCCGCAGGGCTGAGGCAGCGGCGCGAGGTGGTGGGCAGGAGCGCCATCTTCGGCGGGGAACACTTCGTGCTGGAGGAGACTGACTGGTACCTGCTGAACCTGTTCCGCCTCTGGTGGCACTACGGCATCAGCTTCCTGAGGCTGCAGATGTGGGTGGAGGAGGTCATGGAGAAGTTCATGAGGTAGGGCCAGCGGACCGTGGGAAGGGTGTTCCAGAGGGGGAGAGGAGAAGGCGGGGAAGGAAGCGGCTTCCCGGTGCATTGTGAAAAAGGAAAAGGTCCCTGCTGGATGTGAGAGGCCAGCACAATTCAGTGCAGGCTGAGAGCAAGCCCCTAGCATGAGGAATGGCCTTAGTGGGTGCAGGGATGGTCTCCCTTGCGTTCATTGTCTTTCCGTCTGCTACACTGATAAAAGCGTGGGTTTCAAACACAGTCACCTGCAACGCTGAACTAGGATGTGAATGAGGGAAACAGCAGGTGGAAGAGAACAGGGGGCAGTGGGGAGCAGGGGGCAGTGGGGAGTGGGTGACCTGCAGAACAAGGCCCCGTCTGAAGGAGGCAGCCAGCATTGCCCTGCAGTCAACTGCGGCCAGCTGTGTGCAGTGCCCACCTCACATGGACAGATCTTCCGGTTTTGCAGAAGCTGGAAATCCAGGGTGATATGTGAAATCTCCCAGCTTTTCAGCATTTGTAACCCAATCATCTTGAAACCAAGTTAAACATGCCTGTGGGCCAGGTGCAGTGCAGCCTGGGGCCGCCGTTTACAAACTTTGCTGTCCGCCAGCTTTTCCACCAAGAACAAATGGGTCCCAGCCCCTCCCCATCACCTTGGGTCTCAGGTATGGAGGACACGTGATCTGTTCTCACTCTGTCACTCACTCACCAAGCTGTCACTTGCCTTTCCCCCAAGTCCCCTCCAAAGGTGCTTGCTGCTTCTGGCCCAGGTGCAGAGGCTGCTCCTCAGGCCCCATGGTCGTCTGCCTCCCTTAAGTGTCAGACGCGCAGCGTGGCCCGTGCCCTCCCTCCCTGGTTCCTGGCACTTCACTCCCTTTCCACTTCTATAACTCTGCTGTTGAGGGCACATATTATATTCTCCAGATGTCCCCCAAAGCTTACATCCTTACCCCTTTCTTCTTTCTGATACTTTCTCCTTCGTCAATTCTATCCACACCTATAACATTGACTTTTCTCTTTTGTGGGAGATAACTTCTCCTTGTTAGCTCTAGTGTCCCCGTCAGTTGAGACCCACGTTTCTGTCTGCTTTCTGGACACCTCTCTCTGGTGTCCCATTGATAACAAGACTCCAGATGTTTACAAAGCAGCCCCAGAATAGACAACATTTCAAAGGCCAGCCAATCCGGTAATCTCCTAGTCTATGCGAGTCCCTGAGATTAGGTGAGCAGGAGAGGGACAAGACATGAGCTAGAGAGTGGGAGCCCTGTCAGATCGAGCCAGAGGTGAGGACAGGCTGGGCCAGCAGAGAGGCTGACAGCATTGGCATGAGGCTGCTGCCATCGGGGCCAATGTGGTCCTAGAAGCCAGGGCAGGGCCAACGCTGTTGGAGAGGGGGCTGTGTCAGCAGGGTTGGGCCGTGGCCCACTGCTGCCTGGCAGGCCCAACTGGCTGAAGAAAGGGCTGTGGACTATGACCTCAGGCAGGCAGTGGCTCAGAGAGGTGACACAGTTGTCATTCTGCAGCCATGATGTAAACCAGGTCTAGTGGGATTCCTTACCTCTACACTGTCCCTTTAGGTGGGACAGGCCCACCACAGCCAGAGAGCAGGCCATGGGGAACATAACTAGCCTTCTCTCCCACCCTTCCATATGTAGAGGAGGTGACGGGTTCCTGGTGGGCCTCCCAGGCACAGGTACCCAGTGGCAGGTGGTCAGCCGAAAGCCTTCCTGCACCAGGACTGAGCTCTGTGTGTCTCCTAGGATCTATAAGTACCAGGCCCACGGTTTTGCTTTCTCGGGCGTGGAGGAGCTGCTCTACTCACTGGGGGAGTCTGCCTTCGTCAACATGACCCAGCGCACTGTGACCGAGTCCCTGCTCCAGGTGGGCGTCACGCAGCGCTTTATCGACGACGTCGTCTCTGCCGTCCTGCGGGCCAGCTATGGCCAGTCAGCAGCAATGCCTGCCTTTGCTGGTGAGCATCCAGCCCTCGACCTGCCCACCTGCCCTTCCTCTGCCCACGGTGCCCAGAATGGGCTGGGGTCGCTGTGATAACGTCCTCTTTGTCCGGCTCATTGTAGTTGCCGAGGCGCTTTGCTGCCCCGTTCCCACTTGATTCTGGCGTTGGTCCTGCGGGTTAGCAGGGGATGGTGTTCACTCCACTTCACAGACAGTGAAAGCAAGGCTTGGATCCGAGGCGTAGGGTGTTGCTACCACTCCTGATTGCCTCGTAATCCCTGACATGTGCGTAAATGTTAGAGTCGATGTGGTGCTTTGCTGTCCCACACTTTCGTTTCAAGAACTGCCCCACTGAGGCCGCTGAGCCCCTGGGTGTTCATTTGCTCGAGCACCTAATCTTCCCAGCTCATTACTGGGGCAGGCGGGCCTGTGTACAGCCCACCGGCCTCCGGCACAGGCCATAAGAGCAGAGAATATAGGCTTCGCGAGAGCAGGAGTCTTTGTCTGGTGTTCGCTGATGTATCCCAAACCCTGAGAACGGTGCCTGCATCGTACCAGGCACTCCGCACCTTCTCGTTAGACAGATGCGTGGAAAGGCGCCTCCCTGTGCCCGGGATACTATCCGTCTGGCCCCTGACACGCTGGCTCCTTCCCAGCCTTCAGGTCCTGCTCAGCGTCCCCTCAGTGTGGCTTCCCTGCTCACTCTTCCATTGTCTTGTGTGTCTCCTTCATAGCATACCACACAATTACCCATTCAAAGCGTGTGATTTAGTGGTTTCTAGTATATTCACAGAGTTGTGCAGCCATCACCACAATCAACTTTAAGCCATTTTCGTCACCCCAGAAAGAAACCCCATGCCCTTTATCCATCACCCCCCAGTCTTCCAGCCCTAGACAGCCACAGATCTGCTTTCTGTTTCTATGGATTGCCCATTCTGGGCATTCCGTATCAAATAGAATCATGCAATACGTGGTCTCTTGGAGCCGACTCTCACTGAGCACCGTGTTTTCACCGCACAGCATGGTGAACTTTGTTGTATTTGCGTGTTTGCTGTCTGTCTGCAACCACGCTGAGAGCCCGGTAGAGTAGTGCTGGACTCCCCAGCCCACTGCCTGGTGGTTCTGAGAACCCCCCGGCCCCCTTCTCGCTTTGCCCAGGAGCCATGTCACTCGCCGGGGCCCAAGGCAGCCTGTGGTCTGTGGAGGGAGGCAACAAGCTGGTTTGTTCCGGTTTGCTGAAGCTCACCAAGGCCAATGTGATCCATGCCACCGTGACCTCCGTGACCCTGCACAGCACAGGTGAGTGGACAGACCAGGAGGCGTGGCCACGCACGCTATTGTTAACCACAGACACTTCTACTCTGTACCTCAACCTTGGTGTGTGTTGTGCTGCTGAGTATTAACAAAAAAGCAATGGGAGGAAGCCCCAGCCCTGCCAAGGACACTAGGGGGTGCTGTTGTCTCAATTCAAATGTCGGCGCCAGCGAGCTGAGCCGCCCATCAGTCTAGCCTTTTTCCAGCAGCCTTGCTCAGACTCCCCCAGCCAGTCAGCGGCAGAACCAGAGAAGAATTTGGGTCTCCCGACTCCCAGTCCAGTGCTCGCCCTGCGACTGCACCAGCATAGAAAGACCAGGACCCGCCAGCTAGACAGCCCAGCTGCATCCTTGGTGCCAGGGTCTCCTTGCACCCTCAATGCTGGGCACCAGGTGGGAGCTCGGGTGGAAGCCAAAGAATAAGTTGACTTTTTTGCTCCCTTTTTTCTCCTTCCAGAAGGGAAAGCCCTGTACCAGGTGGGGTATGAGAATGAGGGAGGCAACAGCTCAGACTTATACGACATTGTGGTCATCGCCACCCCTCTGCACCTGGACAACAGCAGCAGCAACTTCACCTTTGAAGGATTCAACCCACCCATTGATGACGTCCAGGGCTCGTTCCAGCCCAGCGTGGTCTCCTTGGTCCACGGCTACCTCAACTCTTCCTACTTTGGATTCCCAGACCCTAAGCTTTTCCCCTTTGCCAGCATCCTTACCACAGATTTCCCCAGCTTCTTCTCCACTCTGGACAACATCTGTCCCGTCAACATCTCGGCCAACTTCCGGCGAAAGCAGCCCCAGGAGGCAGCTGTTTGGCGAGTCCAGTCCCCCAAGCCCCTCTTTCGGACCCAGCTGAAGACCCTCTTCCGTTCCTATTACTCAGTGCAGACAGCTGAGTGGCAGGCCCATCCCCTGTACGGCTCCCGCCCCACTCTCCCAAGGTTCGCGCTCCACGACCAACTCTTCTACCTCAATGCTCTGGAGTGGGCAGCCAGCTCTGTGGAGGTGATGGCCGTCGCTGCCAAGAATGTGGCCTTGCTGGCTTATAACCGCTGGTACCAGGACCTGGACAAGATCGACCAAAAGGATTTGATGCACAAGGTCAAGACTGAACTGTGAGGGCTCTGGGGAGAGCCCAAGAACTCCCGCCCCCCCACTGAAGATGGCTCACACCCCACAGCCCAGGATTGAATGAGCCAAGCTCTCTCTCTCTGACCCCTCAGTACCGAGCATCTTCTCCCTCCAGTGTCGGTCCGGGTGGCCGCTGTCTACCTATCTCGAGAATCCTCATGGTGGTTGCTTCTTTTTTTTTTTAAGGAGGACAGTAAGAAAAGGGAAGGGAATTCAAGCCAGTATATTTGTTTTATTTATTTTTCTTAAGAAGAAATAAAAGTCCATCTTCTCAAGCTGCTTCTGACTTGGTTTTCTAACTAGGAACTAGGACGGCTGTGGGAGGGATTACAAGGCAGAGGACTTTGAGTCTAATTTTTTTACTGTACTTTACCACCTACTCCCAAAATGGACAACCAATTGAGGCAGGCTACAAGAAAATGTTTACAACCAGATGGTTGTAAATGAAGTAAAAGGGAAAATCAGAAAACCTAAGAACGATTATAGCTCCTGTTTCCTGTGGGCTTGCTAGATGTGAGGCAGCTAGTTCAGAACTTACTAGACACCATCTCCAAGCCTCTCCACAATACTGCGTACTGGAGGAGGTGACTGTGGTGGGACCCAAGGAAGAGAGGTGTGCCTCAACAGAGCCATCAGTACAGCTTCGAGCTTCCTGGCAACCAGAGGGAAAAGAGAAACATATCAGGCTATAGGAGGAGGGAGCCCGGAGGAATTGACCATTCCCTTCCTTATTCAGGGGTTGAGGAATAATACAATGGATTTGTCTTGCAAAGAAGGCAAGTCCACAGGCATAGAGAGCAGTCCTATCTCACCCCCAAACATTCACCCCAGCAGAAGGAAAGGAAAGAAGGCATTGCGATGGTTCTCCAAAGAGTAACCTGGCGCTTTCTCCTGTGACACTAGCTTGAAAGGAGAGGAAGATGATGTTTTGCTTTGCTTTTCCTACGAACGTTTAAAGGTCAGTAGTTTTAGAAAAGAAAGTAAAAGTCCTTTTCGTTCCTTTGGACCTGTTTCTTTCTGCAAAAGAGGAGAACAGAGAAACGAAGTCCAAGGCACCCAGCGTGTGTGATGCATGGACCAACCACATTTGGATCTGGGGAAGGGAAGGGTGCTTGAGAAAGATGCAGATGCCCAAGTCCCACCCAGACTTGCTAGACAGTCTTCAGAGGAGGGACGTGGATACCGGGAGGAAACAACGCTGCCAAATGATGCTAATATTATAGCCTTCCTAACAGGAACCCAGAGGTCATCCAGCTTACTTCCTTGTCTTTGTAGAGAGGGAGATAAAAGCCCAAAGTGAGGAAATAAATAGCTTGTTCAAGGTCTCCTGGTGAGCTCATAGAACAGCTCAAATCTGGAGCTTCTTAAAATTGACTTCAGCATGGGCAAAATACCCTTCCAGTTGGTGGAGGCCCAAACTGGCTCTGAGGTGGTTTTTACTATACCAGGTTGATAGTAATGGCAGTGAAAGAGATGGAGTCTTGAAAGTACACATAGCATACACTTGTTGGTTACTATAGAAATTATGAAACTGACACATCAGTATAAAGGTTTTTGGTTCAAGTAGAAAACCAAACTCACATGGACTTAAGCAATAAAAGGTTTTTCTTATTTATTATAACTTAAAAGTCTAGGTGTAGAGCACTTTGCAATCTCCAGTTCCATTACTTCTCTCGTGGTCAAAGATGGCTGCCAACAGCTCCCATGGTGAGAAGGTCTTCTCCCATAACCACTGAACCAAATTCTGGGCTCTGGGCCCATTGGACCACCCATGAACCAATTCCTGTGGCTGAGGGAATGCCACATGCTGCTTGGCTTGGGACTCAGATACCAGACCAATAACCATGCCACAGGGGATGAGATTAGGCTGGCTGGCTTAGAACAGTCAGGTCCTGTCTCTGGAGCAGAGATGGTCTCATCCAAACTTCAAGGTCAGAGAAGGGAAAGGGTATTGGAAAGAGAACCACAATGTCAGCCCCATGCAGATGGGGCTCTCATGTCCAGTGAAATCGAAGTGTGTAATGGCATCTTTTGATGCTCTGTGTTTGACATGAAAATGGCAGTGGGCTATCATGCTATAATTGATAGTTGGTACTGGACCAGAGGACTAAGGACAATACAAAACTTATCCTGATAACCACCCTAAGGAGGGTCTAAGCACAGAAGATGCAAACCAGGGCAGTTACGCTTGATCCTCAGTCCTCGGCTAGGGCTTTGTCTCCATGTCCAAGCATGACTGCAGCGGAGCTGGCCACATCCTTCAGAAACTTCCTTTACCTGGGTAGGCAGGCCCAAACAGCTCAGAACCAAAGCCAGCCAAAATGCCCACGCTGCCTGCTTCCCCAAGCCCAAACCTGAGAGTTGGATCTCACCATCTCCCTTTCTTGCAGGCAGGGAGGAAAGGACAGAGATTCCAGAAAGGAGTGTAAGAACCAGCAGAAGCCTTTGCGCCAGGGCCCACTCCAGCTTTCTTAGGCCTGGGAAGCTCCCAAGTGGCCAACAGCCCCCTGGGAGAAGAGAGAGCATTTGCAAAGACAGACGGAGCCCTATAATCTGCTAAATAAAACAGGAAAGGGCCACACTTGTCCTCAGTTGTCCTGGATGCGGTGTAGTGGATGTTAAACCCTATTCACAGGAACTCCACCTCCTACAGCAGGTGACCCAGGCAAAATTTCAGTATTGGGGGGGCGGGAGGGGGAGCTGTGGAGGGTAGAATGGGGGCAGGGGTGTAAGGAATGCCTTGCTCCTGACCACCTATGAAGGAGCACTAGAGGGAGCCAGGGGACAGATCTTGGGCTCCCCCTTAATCCTTCATACCCCACCCCACCCCCCACCCCCAGGGTCCTGAGCTCCTTGCTGCTGCCTCCAAACCAGGGGCCTGGGAGGGGCCAGCTGTGATTCACGCTATGTCAGTGGCCAGGCTCAGGAGGCCAGGCTTCTGAGTTGAAGAATAGTTAAACTGAGCAAGACCCTGGAGATCCCTAAATCCTATCTGCTCATTTCACAGATGAGGGACGTAAAGCCCAGAAAAAGGAAAAGGCATCATCCGTATAAAACTAACTGGCCTTTACTAGGTGTCTCTGTGTCTCTGATGCTCCAGCAGAAGCAGGACAGCCCCTCCTCACCATGGAGAGGGGATCCCCCACCCGACCCCTACGCCCCAGGGCACCTGGGGTCTCGCGAGACCAGGAGCAACCTTCCTGCAGCTCAACTCTTCTCCCACCCTCACCCCACAGAAAAGCCTTGGAGGCCATGGGCCTTTCATGCGGGGTTGAAGTCCTAAGGCCGGGAGAGCAGGCTGCGGGGGCCTCAGAGAGGAGCCACCCGAGGATGGAGGAGTGGCTGCTGCGGGCATCTGCATGGGCTGGCACAGGAAGTCTATTTTCCATTTGTCTGGAACCGGGCCGAAGCTTCCTGGGGTAATTTTAACCAGTATCCATTCTAGAATGATACCAAAAAAGGTAAGTTACTTAGCATCCCAGACAGACACATACCTAACCATTGGCCTTTCATGAATTAGACCGTTAAAACATTCAGCGCTAAAGCTGCTTTAAGCACTAAAGTTAGAGCAGCCAGTAAAGGATTCCTATGAGGGGCTGTTGGCCCTTTTATTGAAATCAACTCTAAAGTGCCAGCTATTCTTACCCTCAGAAAATAGCCTGAGCCCCTCAGCTGTCTTGGGGAAGGAAGGTATTTTTAGACCCTAGAACAGCTGATTTGGGATTTGGTGCAGGGGTCAGAGGGCCTGGGGAGAGGGTTGAATTGCTAGGTTCATGGGGGATGTTGGGAGTTAGTATTTAGGGGCCAAGAGTCGGCGTGGGCTTTAGAACAAGTTAGTCCATATACTGCCGTTTTTGATCAGCACGGCGTCTTGATATAAGCCAGTGGTTCTCAAAGTGTGGTCACCAGAACGACGGCATCAGCATCACCTGGGAACCACTATATCAGAAGTGCAAAAAAACCGCTGCATAAAAATGCAAAGTGTCAGCCCCTGCCTGAATCAGAACCTCTAGGTGTGGGGCCAGCAGTCTGTGTTTTAGCAAGCCTTCCGCACGATCCTGATGCTCGCTGAAGTTCAGGGACCACTGATATCAACTAACTGTCCAACCAGATCCCCCTGTGGGCAGGGCTGGATGAAAGAATGATCTACACTGATCCTTCCCAACTCTTGAGTGTTCAGACCCAGTGATCCTCAGCCCAGGAAAAGTACATACTCACATGAAAAATTAAGGGGTTTGCTGGCCTAGGTTAAAAATTCCTGCTCTTTGGCAACCTGGAGGCCCCTTTTTGGGTCTAAGTCTGATCTGCAGAGAATCTCAGAACTGAAAGAGACCTTATAGATGGTCGGCTCCAACCAGAGCAGACTCCACAATATCCGCAAGAGTCCCAGCTTCAGCCCGACACTTGCAGAGGCGAGGAGCTCCCCACCTCAAAGACCGTGTTTCCAATGACCTTTGACTTAATTGGGTAGAGTTAGCTCTTGTCAACTCCTATATTGGTTTATACCAACCAAGCTACAGTAACATGGCTCAAATATACGCTGATAAGCCCAAATTATAGGAAGAATGTGACCGTCCTAAATGGTAGAAATGAATGCAGTATGTTTTTAATAGCCTATCTCAGTGTTGGAGAACTCTGAGTGATGGAAAATCTCCTTCATATTGACCTGAAATCTACCTCCCAGGGACCTCCTACCTACCCCCACCCTGGTTTTTTGGCTTTGGAGCCACAAGGAGCAAACCCAAAGTCTTGCTTTCAAAAGACAGCCTTTACTTTTCACAGGCCTTGCTCGGCACGGGGGTGCAGGGAGGGTGGTCTCCAGCTGCCGGCTGGCTTCCGGGCCCGGCGGTTCAGAAGATGCAGGTGCAGCCCACGGCGATGGTCTCCATGACCGCTCGCTGGCGGCAGGGCCCCAGGCGCGGCGGCGGCGGGCAGAGGCGGCGGCGCACGGGCACCTGGCTGAACACCGGCACGCTCACCATGCTGCGGTCCTCCTGCATGGTGAAGGGGTTCACGCAGCCCACGCACAGGCACCGCGCCTCCGGCAGGTCTGCGGGGGTGCGGCCGGGGTCGTGGTTGATGCTGCGGGGAGCAGGAGAGAGCACAGGGCGGACGGTGGTCGGGAAAGAGCCAATCGGCAGCCCGTCCCCGCGCCCTGCCTTTCCTAACTGGGTTTTGACGCCCCAGCAACACTGTGCGGTGCTGGAGGAAGGACAGCACTCAGCTCGGTGTTCCAGGTCAGGAAACTGGAGATCGGAGCAGGCAAGTCACGTGCCCCAAGGTTATCTAGGTTCAAGGTCACCAGTCGGTCACCCTGTTTCCTTCTTTCCTACAGCAGATGCCCATCCAGGTACTAAGTTGCGCTGTGGGGATCACAGAGAAGCCCAAGGCCCCCTCCGCCTCCACCCCTACTTGTTTACATTTTTGGTAAACTTAATCCATGCAAATAAAACGTGAGCACAGTGGTGTCTGATTTCCACCTGGAAGAGTCAGGAGGCCTGGATTCTATTCTGACCTCATCTCCATGCATTGAGGCGCTTGTTACAGGCTCGCTGTGAGCGGGTCTGTCCTAGACGTTAGGCAGTCACCGATGCACAAAGCAGACAGGTTCCGCCTGGTGCTGTCACGGAGCCTAGCACACAGGGACTTGCTTTGCCACCGTTCGCCCTCTGTCCCTCAGCGTCCTCTGCTAAACGTGGGTGAACCAGACCTGTGGACTCGCAGCATCCGCATCACCTCGTTAGACTTGGGAGCTCGTTAGAAGGGCAGAACCCTCGGAATAAGAGCCTGTGTTCTCACAGGATCCCACGGGCCCAGCAAAGTAAGCGTGCAAAGCCCGGAGACTCTACTGACGCTTCCGGTGACCACGCTCCAGCGCTGCGCTGAGCCACGCAGTAGCCACTAGCCGCACGTGTCGACTTAAATTTAAATTAGTCAAAATTAGCTCCTCAGTCACGCTGGCCACATTTCAAGTGCTCAATAGCCACATGAGGCTAGTGGCTACTAGATTGGACTTTACGTCATCACAGAAAGTTCCAGTCAACAGTGCTGTTCTAGAGTCTCAGGGTGTAAGTTGTGTGGCTGAACAATCTTCAGCCTGGGTTTGTGAGTGAGGACCTTCAGGGCCAGCCGTTTCGTCACTATTCATTCAACATATATATATATGTATATTTGTGTGCCAGGCGCTGAGCCGGGAAGTGGACAAGGTGGGGACAATTCTGCTGTCGCCCGGGGCAGCAGGTCTGGATTCCCAAATCAAAGCCTGCAGTGCAACCTCGTCATGCGGAGATTTATGAAATGCCATTTTCTGGGCCTCGCCCAGGACATTTCAGCTGGGTGCGGCGTGGGAATCCTTAGGTGGCTCTGATGCAGGCATTGGGAAGGTCCTGGTCTAGTGTGGCAGACAAACATGAGCACGGGCCAGGGAAATGCTACAACTTAGAAGACTGTAAGAGCCACCATGGAGCTGGAGGAAGTGACATTTGGGAAAGGCCCTGCAGGCACTTCGGCTGGGGCTCGAAGAACGGTCGGGGCAGTGCTCTGCGTGAGCATCTCATCTAACAGCAGCTTATGAAGTAGGTACTGCTATCACCTCTGTTGATGCTGAGCAAATGGGGCCTCGGAAAGGCGGATCGACTTGCCAAAAGCCGCCCAGCTTGGAAGGGGCAGAGCCAGGATTCAAACCCCAGGCACCCAGACCTCTGAATCCAAGGTCTTACCAGTTACAATGACTGGGATGTGGGAAGAGCCCCACCCCCCGAAAGACAGCTGGCCACTGCTGCCGGCCCAGCCTACCTGTAGCCCCAGGGAGACAGGCTCCTCTTGTTGGACAGCCACAGCTGCAAGTCGACCTCACACTTCCTCTTGGCCAGCTCAGAGCTGTTTCTCAGCTGGGCCACCATCTCCTCGAGGTTCCTCTCGTACTCCTCCATGCGGGCATAGGGTTTCATCCTTGACACCAGGTCCAGTGGCACCTGGTGAGGTCCAGGGGCCAACGTCCCAGCCCGTCCTTGCCCCTTCCTCTTGCCTTTGGGGCTCCTGGGCTGGCCCAGCCCCAGGAAGATGGAGATGGTAAGAAGGAGCAGCTGGGGAGGAAGGCCACAGGTCACAGGTGGGAGTGCTGAGTCTCAGAATCCAGAGTCCGTTCCCGTTACCCTTAGGGGTCTCCCAGGCTCAGGTCTGCCCCCTCTCTCCCTGCCCAGCTGAGCTCTGCCCCTCTCAAATCACTGCCTGCTGCCCCTCTCACTTGTGCCCCAGTCTCTGGCCTTGTCTCTCTTACTCTCTCTGTGCTCCTTCCTGCCACAGGGACTTTGCACGGGCCTTTTCCTGCAGGCTGTGCCTCTTCTCTTCCCCTCCTAAACACCTTCCCACCCTTCGTGTGTAGGCTCTAGTGTCACTTCTTTAAGGATACCTCTGGGCTCTCATAACCCACGTGCCTCTGGCATGGCAGCAATGTGACAGTTTGTATGTGTGATTCTTTTACATGTCTGTCCCCCACTCAGCACAGACTCCGTGAAGACACGTGTCAGTTTCCACAGACTGTCTCGTCCCCGCGTCTGTGGTGCCAGACACTTAGGCATTCAGTGAACACTTGCTGAGTGACTGGATGGCTGTCCCCATCCCTGCCCTTCTGTAGCTTACAGGCTGGGAAGGAAAACAAACAGTGGGCAAGAAAACAAAGACCTAAGTCTCCCTAGTGACAAGTGCAATGATGGCCCCGTGCAGGGTATAGCTGGAGAAGAGTACGGCCTCCTGCTTAGCCTGTGCCAGGGCAGTGGCCCGGGAAGCTTCTCTGAGGAGGGGACATGTCAGGTGAGGCTTGAAGGACGAGAGGGCGGCAGACATGGGCAGAGGGTGTCTAAAAGCCTTGCGGGTGGGGGAAACAGAGACAGGAGCTTTGAGTTGGTTTAGAGTGTGGGGCGGGGAGAGGCCATGAAATGAAGTTGGGGAGTTGGGACAGTCACGGGCTGAGGACACCCTGCCCGTGACACCCACACTGCCTTCCTCCCCTGAGCTTCCCCTCCTCCAGCCCCGACCCCGGCCTGCCCCTCCACCCAATATTGTCCGTTCCTTCCATTTCTCCCTCCCCAGAAGCAGAGTGTCAGGAGAGACTTGGGCTCACAGAGAGGACTCGGCCCGACAGAACCCAGACTTCTCAGGAAGCCAGGGAGAGGAGGCCCAGGGCCTGCACGGGGGACAGAGCTAGACAGACGGAGGAACCTCTAAGGAGTTTTGTCTCCCACTGACTCTAGACAGGCTCTGTGCCAGCCCCAGATCTCTCCCCTATTCCTCCCCCACAGCTCCATGGCTTATGCCTGCTTTATCCAGGCTACCCTGCAAATCTTGACCCTGGGAAACAAGTTTCAGCATAGCCCCTCCTGGCAGAGCCATTTCTTGGCACAAAATCCACAACAGAGATTCAAGTTGCTAAATTCTTCCTTTTTGGTCCTAGACTCGGGGGCAGAAAAATGTCTCCCTTACAATAGGCTCTCTCATCTGAACTTCTCACGCAGCATTGTTAACCTCTGACTCTCCGCTCGGAGCAACCCAGAACGGAGTCAAAGCCCCCCTCCCTCGCCTTGCAGATGGGAAACAGAGAAACAGAGGGACTTGCCCAAGGTCACACTGCCCAGATCTCAGGAGCCAGGTCTCGTTGGAGAAACCCCCACCGACGAGTTTGCCAGCATCTCCCCAGATGCCTCTGGCCTGAAAGGGCTTCAGTGTGACCGGCCCGAGCCCAGTTCAAGAGCTGAGCTACTAGGCAAGGCTGCAGGCTCTGAGACGAGTCTCTGTTTCTTTCTAGTCCTGGGGGAGAGGACAGGGGGAGAACTCGCCTCCGCAGATTCCAAGCCAAACAGAGGCAGCCATTAATCAATAGGAAAGAAATACTGAAATACTCGGGCTCTAAAAGGGGGTGGGGGAGGGCTGGGGAAGCGCCACGTACCAGGTTGTGTGGCCAGTCCATCCCGCTCAGCGTCAAGGTCAGCCTGCAGCTGCCGCCCGCCTGGAACCCCAGATGCCACCGCTGCCGCCGCCGCCGAGAGAATGGCAGCAACAGGATGGAGCGAAGCAATTATAGCTCGACTGGGGGCTGCTGGGGGAGTGGGTGGGTGGGCTCGTCATCAGCTGGGATCCTTGGGCCCCCAGCTGGCTGGGCCCAGTGCAGTGGCAGGCGGTGAGGGACGTGGGGGCAGGCCAGAAGCCGGGCTGAGGTGCCCAGGGGCTGTTGACCGAGGGACAATGCCCTGTGTGTCTGGCGGGGCTCTGGGCCGGTGGCACCTCCGCCTGTGGCCTGCGGCCGGCCGCCGGGCCAGCACCCACAGGGCCAGCTAAGACAATCAGCTTCGTTTGCTTTAGGGATGGCAAGGGGGTGAGGGTGGAGGAGGGATGGGCTGTCGGTTGGTCAGGAGAGCAAATGTTCTGGGAGCGTCCTGGCCAGCAGCAGGGCACAGGCCCCATCTCCCAGGGAAACAGCCCCAGGCACTCCAGCCTCTGCCAGCCTCAGGTGAGTGCCATAGCCCAAGGAGACCACAGTCCCACCCTCTAGTTCGCAGGCAGGGAAACTGAGGCCCGAGTGAGGAAGGGGCTCATCCCGTATTATGCAGTGATTTAGAAGTGACAGAGCTGGGGTTCATGGCGGTCTCCGTCCATGGCTCTGTCCACCACCCCCATGCTGTTTTTCTTGGGATGCTTTCTGTGCAGTTCCAGCCTGCTGTGAACATGTTTCTGAATCTGTGTGCCCTCACTCGGGCCGACTTGCGGATCTGTGAGGACTTCACGGCCGATTGCTCTGGCCTTTGTCCCAGGGAGGTCTCCCCGCCCGGGGCCTGCCCGTGTGTGGCAGCTTGTGACCTTCCTTCTCTCTCAGCCTCAGTCCCTTCTCTGTAAAATGGGAGTTGTGTCCAGGAATAGACAGTGGCCTGGCCCGTTCCTCCCTGAAATCTTTCTGAGCCTCAGTTCCCACATCTCTAGATTGGGAATAATCGTAGCATCCTCCTCTTGAGGCTACTATAAGGAATAAAGGAAATAACCATGTCAAATAGCCAGCACAGTGCCTGGCCCATAGTAAGTGCTCAATAAACACTTAGCTGTTTATTATAAAACATTATAAAATAACTTTATCATTATTGCTATAAACATTAGCTGTTCCAATTAGTGTTAGAGCTAGCACTGTTCTCAATACTCAACCGACTCTCCTTCCTACCCTCTCAGGCCCCCCTCCTGGCTGCTAAGAGAGCTCTAGGCTTCTAAGACTCAGGCCACCACCTCATGAGGTCAGGTCACCCCCAGGGTCCACGGGTCCTGGAATCACATGCTAAACAGACCAGCTCCTCTGGCCAATGTCTCTCACCTGGAGTGAACAGCCCAGCCAGATGGGAGCGAATCCATGCGGGGAGGCAGGTGTGGGGGGAGGGGTGTGAGGACAGAGGAGGGGTGCCGTGAGCAGACGTGCAGGACTGCCCCGTCTTACCGAGGGCCAGTCTTGGCCATTTACAGGAATCGGCCCAGCGGAAGAACGCAGGGCGAGAGGCGCTCCCAAATGTCACAAGATTAATCTGTCCAGGGCAGGTTTCCACAGCATAACTGAGAAGCTGGCTAGGGCTTGAATGCATCGAGAGATACCACCATATTTGGTCAAATACTAGACAGGGCTCTATTCTATCGCTGGAAACTCCAGAGGGAGGGGGGACTCTGAAAATACCTCCTCAGGCAACAAGGGCCCTCGCCGCACCCCCCAGGCTGTCCCAGCCCCTCTGCCAGGCGTGGGGGCAGCCTGGGTGTGCTCCGTGCTGGCTCTCTGCTTCCCCGCCACTGCTGCTCGCCGCGGGGTCCGGCAGACATGCAGCTGGGGTGACCCCTCCCACAGCCATGGAAAGGTGGGGGAATTGATAGATGGGGACTGGGGGATGAGGGATTCCTCTGCCTCTCAGGACTCCTGAAACCACCACACTTTCCTTACCTGTTGGCAATACACACCCCCCGCTTCTGCCTCCCAAGGCTGGGAGTGATCAGCCTCGCTACATCCTAGCTCAGGGCTTGTTAATTTACATTCCAGGGTCCCAGCCCAGGGACTCTGAAGTAGCATCTGGAGTCTGCATCTGGAGAGCCCAGTCTGGAAGCTACGAGGGCCCTCACCCATCACCTGGCCCTCTCCCCCCACCTATTTTACTGCAGGGAGACTGAGGCCCAGGAGGGAGGGGCCTTACCCAACCTCACACAGCATGTTTGTGCCAGAGCTGGGAGCAGAACTCAATCTCCTAATTCTTATTCATTTCTCTTCCCCCCAACTGTACAAACAGCTCTAGACAAGACTGATTGCAGGTCTGGCGGGGGCCAAGGAGCCAGGCCAGTCCTTGTGGGGGCCCCAGGTCCCTCACAACGGGGAGGGGAGCTGTGGGGTTCCCAGGCAAATACTGTAGGGAATCAGGCATGGGCCCAGTGACTGTCATTGGGTTTCCCATTCCTAGGCCATCTCAGGCCAGGAGGGAGGCTCCTTCCTCCAGCCTCGGCTTCTAGAAACCGCTGAAGGGTCATCTGCCCTTAGGGAGGTCCTGATTGTGAACCCAGGCAGACTGTGGGACCCAACCCCAGGGGTCAGTGCCAGGCCAGAGAGGGAGGTGTAGGAACTCTGGCTTTAGGGGTTCCCACCCCACAAGCGAGGCTGGCATCCTCATGCGTGAGGCTGGGCGGTGGGTGGCTAGAGGGCGAGGGGGCAGTGGGCGGTCATGGTCGGCTCAGAGCCCTCAGCTGCAGGCGCCGCCAGGAGAAGTGGTGCACTCGCCCACTCGCCACCAGATGGCGCCACCAGAAAGCCAGACAGCCCCTAAGACCTCACAAACCCAGGTGGAAGTTCCCTGCCAGACACCCCTTGTCCCTGGAGTGGGCCCTGGGGCTGGAAATGAGGGGTCGGGCCAGTGGGTAGGGGCCCTGCAGCTGCCTTCCCAAGTGACCCTATTGTTGATGAGGACCAGCGCCCAGGACACCTTCCACGTCAGTGAGGAAAGGCACAGCAGGTTGGGGTGGCCGAGTGATTGCCTTCACTTCGAGCACCTACTGTGTGCTAGGCCCTAGGCATTCGGCCCCCGGACACTGTAATTCTCAGAAAATAACAATTAGTAGTGATCACAGCTACCGCTTAACAGCCTTTTACTGACCACCTGGCATTGCGCTAGATCATGTGCCCTGTGCCATTAAATCCTCCCAGCAACGCTGTGGCGAGGTCCCAGTTTTATCCCAAATTTACAGATGAGGAAACTGAGGCTCGGAGCACTTAGTCACTTGCCCAAAGTCACAGAGAATTCAAAGCAAGTTAGTCTGACTCCTGCACATGCTGCTCCCTGTGTGGGATGAGGAGGGACAGTGCAGCCAGGACAGGAGGGGGAGGTCCAGCTGGTCAGGAATGGGTCAGAGGAGCTGGTCAGAGGAGGGTCTGGGATGGCCTCAGCGTCACCCTGCTGTCCCCAATCTGGACCCTGCAGCTCACTAAGCCCAAGCCCAAACTAGAGTCCTCAGGGGTGTCCGAGAGCTCCCAGGCCGTGGGTGCGGCACCCAGCAGCTTCCCTGGCACGTGCTAGGCATTCACCAAATATTCGATACATTGAATGGCCCCAGCTGGACTACAGGGTGGTAATGCTGGGATGGAGAGTGGGAGGCCAGAGCAGGGGACACCCAGCTGCAGGTGCAGCTCAGGGGGTAAGAGGTCAGGCTCCACAGGTTGGCAGACCTGAGTTTCAGTCCTGCCCCTGCCCCTTCACAGCTGTGTGACCTTGGGAAAGTTACTTGACTTCTCTGAGGCTTAGCTTCTTCTGCACAGTGAAGATCATAATAACTTGGCTGTCAATGGATAGTTGTGAGGATCAAATGAGATAATGCACGTTGGCAATTAATGGTAGCTGCAGTTGTCATTCCTGTTGTTAAAACAAGTTTTGAGATAGGCCTTCAAGGATGTTTCTGGAGTGTTCCTAGGTAGGAAGGGCATTGTGAGGCGGGAACAAGGCTAGAAGCAGCAGAGGAATACAGAGGCCCCTATTTCCAGTGAGCCCACCCTAGAGCCTCACCGAGGCCAGGAGGACCTGAGAGATTTGGTCTAAAACCTTGTCCCAGTGGACCTTGTAATGTCAGAGAAGGCAGGAGGAGGCTAGCAGGCACCTTTGCTGGCTGTGGCCAGGAGGGCGCAGCCCCCACAGGAGGTCCTGGCTCCCCTGCTGTGTGGCCCTGCCCTCCCTCCTGGGTAGGAGTCCTTCTCCCAGGCCCATATTTGCACAAATGCCTGCCTCGCTGCTCGCTCCAGAGCCCCAGCCAAGAGGGGCTATTTTAAGCTCCCTGGATGGGAACATTGTTGGTGGAAACAGCCCCAGCCAGCAAGCTCCCAGCTCTCAAAAAAGGGAAAGGCCTGCATAAATGGGCGGCCCCTGGGACCTGCAGAGGGGACGCCCCATCAGCATGACCGTCTGCCCAGGCACCAGTGCCTCCTCCCCACAGGGGAAGTCAAGGAAACTCAAGTTGAGGTGAGGCTTGGAGAGGTGGTCTTGTTTGCTGGTGACTAGGTGGCCTAGGCATTCTGCCCAGCATCCAGCCTTGAAAACACCAAGTTTGTGTTTCTGGGTTGCAGATCGACTTCACACTGCACCTAGTCTCTTGTTAGCACTCACCACCCATATGCCATCAGAGGTGGGGGATATCTCATCCAGCCCCAACTAATGTGGGAACCTTTCTAAAGTGTCTTTGCTGGATACTTCCAGTCTAGGGATACCGTTTCTCTCTGAGGATGCACATTCCACCTTTTTAAGCTCTAGTTGTTGAAAATAATGATTATAATTGCAAAAGGTTTCTTTTGTATTATGCAGAAGTCCCCCTCCCGTGGGGAAAAGACAGCAGACTTCAGTCACTGTGCTTGGACACTTGATCTGCCCCTTGTTATTTGGCCATGTCTACCTTCCCCAACTTTGGTGAACCTCAGTTTCCTCAAAGGGTTATTAAAATGGATTAATCATAAAAATCATTGTTTG